AAGTTTATTAAGGAAATGTTGAGTGTCTACCTATATTTTTCTTCCATTTCAGCTAACAAAATCGTGGAAGAGATGATAAATATAAAAAAACCCAAAGACGGACTAATTAATTTACTTATTGAAGAAAATCTTAATCCAGAAATCATAAAACGGATTATTGTAGATTTTGTCATAGCAGCTGGTGACACGGTAGGTTATATTAAAGTTGATTTACTTGTGTAATCGTTTTAAATTTGGAGACTTATTAAAGATTTTTTCAGACGTCTTACACTACAATATGGACATTGTATCTATTGTCTAAGAACAAGGATGTGAGACAAGAACTATTTAAAAAAAACTCTATAATCGGCTATGCTATTAAAGAATCTATGAGGTTATATCCCGTTGCGCCCTTTTTGACCAGGATTTTACCCAAAGAATGCATCTTCGGAGCTTACAAACTTAAAGGAGGCGTGAGTATAAGATACATATATACTATATTTGCGCAATTTTAGAAATATACCTATGTTGAAAAATACTTAGGATAGGTAGGTACTATAACTGTAAAATACTAGTATGCTAAGTTATATTCAGTTATTAGGTATTCATTTTCCTCATAGGGCTAGTAACCTCGTTAGACGACTTCCTTGATACCCTTTTGATTGCAAGTGCTAAAAATCGATTCGGTTGTACATGGTGTTGTGGTGAAGCACATAATTAGGTACGTCACAAATCGCGTAAGTGAAGTTTGCGAGTAGATTGATAGGATAAAGATAAAGCGCGAGTGCGCTGCCGCGCTATTTCTAGACGAGACGAGTAGAGGGCTTTCGACCGCGTCTGGCATGCCTGCTTATCAATCTAGTAAACATCTACTGCTCCTCGTCGAACAAGTCAATATCGTGGCAATCTTTCACTCTGTCGACCGAGCAGATCATCAGAGCCAGCATACCCCAAGGAAGCTGCATCTCACCTATGTGCTATTGTCTACTACACGACGTCGCTGAATCGCAGACACGGAGTGGTTTAACTACAGCTCGCATTAGATGCACTCCCTGAATAACTGGAGAAGTGGAGGGTCGTGAACGTGGCGAACACCCAAGCACTTGGCTAGGGGATCATGAAGCCAACATCTATGATATGACACTCATGGGAGAGTAGGTCCAGTGGGCGCCGAGTGTTAAATACCTTGATGTCACCTTCGACCCCTTGCTCTCGATGACGCCCCGTGTGCTGCAGGTTGCTGGGCAGGCGGGCGCCGCGAGTCACCTCCGGTGCTCGACTTGGCATTTATAAGGCTTACATTCGGACACGGCTTATCTACGCTACCCCGGCATGATAAACGCTCGAGTCCGAATCACCGACGTTGCACGCCATTGTCAAGGCTCCGCGTTTTGTAGAGTGCGTCGATGCCTTCGTGCAGCGCCTGAGCCATAGATCAAGCTTATAATATAAGTAATAACGTCTGCCTGAGCACTACAATGTTCGACCGCTCCGACCGGTCACGGTTCGACCACCTCCGAAAGCTGGCGCCTTATCACCGGCGCCCCTGTGGCGGCCTCTCTATGTGGCTTTACAATAATTTTATTGTGAAGTCAATACCAAATTATTTTAATTCCGCATCTAGAATTTAGCGTATGAAGTATTAGTGGCGAATCATGTCGCGCCAGAAACCTGTCCGTTTCATACAATTACTATTGTTAGTGAACACACATGCGTGGCGTATTGTGTCGCGCGCTTTGACACCAATGTGGCAAACTGAGGCAGATTGGCGTTTCACGACACAGTAATATATTTATAGGCACACGTGAGATCGTAACAAAAGGTAGAAAGTATCTTATATTTACTATCGGAGCAGATAATTCTTATCAAACATTGAACACCTAAAATTGTATTGTTTAATGATGTTATTACTACCGATGCCGATTTAAATTATTGTCTTTTTTTATCTTTGTGCGTCGTTCAATGTACATACTCTGTGGCGTACCTGCTCTATTTTTGTTTTCTGGCCTAAAGGACTTGTATCCTGGCCATAAACTCGATAAAAAATTTGCTTTCACATCGACAATCGTCAAATTGACATTTGACATAATAGACATTAATATTTTGTTGTTATTGTATGTTCCTATAACAGAAGTTAGGTTATGTTATACAATACATAAATCGATACAACATAAATAAAGAAAAAACTAACAATTTACAACGAATTTGAATATTTTAATATAAAATGCTAATCTTGAATTTTGTTACAAAGTTAAAATTTAATCCGTCGCCGCACACCTATCGCAAATTTAGTGCTATTTGTTGCCATCATAGCGAAGCTGAATATCAAAACAAATTTATTAAATACAAGTTATTCGATAAATATAATCCAGTGAATCTGCATGTTCGAAGAAATATTTCAATGGAAGGATTCCTAAAATGGCAAGAACAAACCTATGCAAGTATATCTGGTAGTACGCCGGTGCATTTTATGCAAGACGGCTTGCTCTATTTTCATGATGTCACGGGAATGTCGTGGTGGGCCACAATTGTTACATCTACAATTATAATAAGAACACTTATGACTTTACCACTATCTGTATATCAAAACTATATATTGGCTAAAGTAGAAAATATCAGCCTTGAGTTAAAAGACTTGGTTAATGAATTAAAAAAAGAAACATCAATAGCAAAGAAAGCCTACAACTTGACGGATAAACAAGCAATAATATTGTACAAGCGATCATTAAAAAAACAATGGAATAATCTAATAGTGAGAGATAATTGCCACCCCTTCAAAGCTAGTTTACTAATTTGGTTCCAAATTCCGATCTGGGTGTGTATGTCATTTGCTTTGAGAAATCTAGTATACATGGCTGATGCAGACCCTGCAGCATTAGTGACCTTTATGGAATTATCTGGAGGTGGCATAGGATGGATACCCAATTTAACTGAACCAGACCATTCATGGATCCTGCCAGTAGCATTTGGATTGACAAACTTATCTATTATTGAAATACAAAGGTTATCTAAGCTAAGACAACCATCTAAGCTGTACAATATTTTTACAAATGTCTTCAGAGTATTTACTATAATAATGATACCTGTAGCTGCCAATGTTCCATCATGTATGTGTCTATATTGGATGACTTCAAGTAGTATTGGATTAGTTCACAACTTGATACTACTGTCACCTTCACTTAGAAGAAAGCTCAGAATACCGTTAGCTCCAAGTGAACTTGAAGAACCATACAAACATATAAGCCATGAATTAAAACATTCTTATAAAACTGTATTAAATAGAATTATACCAAAACAATCATAAAATTTTCTTTTCTTTTATTTATGTACCTGTTCCTCCTTAGTAAGGATTGAAGAAGTCTGTCCTGTCCTGTAAATAAGAAAATATGTTTTAATTATCAACATACAAAATTATTACAGACTCCAATTATCGTTTCCATTTATACATCAGGAAGAGATGAACAATACTTTAGCAAAGCTACAGAATATCTGCCTTACCGCTGGGACCGCAATGACCTAAGGAGGAAAGAGCTTGAGAACCATGTGTCTTCTGCTTCATTGCCGTTTGCTCTTGGAGCCCGGTCATGTATTGGTAGAAAGCTAGCAATGCTGCAAATGACAGAGCTTATAACTCAGGTAAAAAATCGCCCAAATTAATGTAAATTATTTCAACATGGGATCTCATGTTTTTTAAATTTTATTCTTATGCTGTGCCATTTGGTTCTATTAAGTATACATATAGATAAGAATTTTTTGTTTCAGATCGTACAAAACTTTGATTTTGAATGTATAAATAAAGATGAAGTTACTACGAAAACTTCTCAGGTACTTGTACCTAGCCAAGAAATGAAGTTGTCTTTCTCGTTGAGAAAAACAGTTAGTGAATAGGCCAACTTAATATCATTATTTATTTGATACATGTATTAATAAGAGCACAATTGTATAACTTCAGAACAATTTGGACATGACTAAGCGCTATATTCACGAATAATTATATCGCGACGATCCACGGGATGAGCGCATACTACATTTTAACGCGCGATATAATTATTGTTATTATTCTATTATTCTTGGTTTGCTGATACTGGCTCCAGGGAGATGAGAACACTATTTAAGCCAGACAATCTTATATACGGTCAAAAATATTCCCATATGAATATTTTTGTATGTGACGATAAATCGGGACTAAACGTTATATTAAAGCAACATGGTGTGGTCTCATGGGTCCTACCGAGGGATTGCAGAATTTTTAACAACATAATGAAGTTATTTTATTTTGTTAAAACGATTTATAATTGTATATATTAGTGTCTTTGTATCCTCATACGGTATACTTACCGGTAATAGTACTTTCACCGCGATTAGACTAGCACGCACAACACAACTATCAACCCAGTGATATATTTAAATTTAGTTATCTTACTTTGTTTATTCTTGTAAATCAACAACTAGGTACATATTATATTTAGTGGCCGTGGATATTACTGAGTATACTTATGTGGATTCTTGCCAATTAAGTAAATAAGTGGCAAGAATCCACATAAGTATACTACTTAAAGACGTAGGTAGGTGCATACCATCAGTCATCATCATCTTCTTGCCCTTGTCCCGTTTTATTTGGGGTCGGCGCGATATGATTTTTTCTTCCTTTCTTTTCTGTCACACGTCAAGCTATCACTAGATAACTCCTCTGTCTTCCATATCACTTCTCACACAATCCATCCATATTTATGCTAATGGCTTTTTTGTAATGCGTTTCATCCCTCCTTTTCACATGGCCATACCAAGACAAACGGTTCCCTTTCAACTTTTCAGTAACTGGTGCCACTTCCAAACTTCCTCTCATATACCCATTTCTCACTTTATCCATTCTCGTCACACCACACATCCATCTCAACATTCTCATCCCTGCTACATGAAATCGCTTTTCATCCGTCTTTTTCAGAGCTTAGCATTTTGACCCATACAATAGGACAGGCCTTATCACGGACTTGTAGATTTTACTCTTTAACCTGAGGGGTAACCGTGTGTGGCAAGTTGTTCCAGTGACCTGTCGCCATTTCATCCATCCTGAGTTGATCCGAGTCTCGGTCTATCTCACCATTCCCTTGGATAAGCGATCCAAGGTACAGAAAATCAGAACAGGTTGGTATGGGCGTTCCGGCGAGAGCAATGGGCACAGGACTAGAGAGACCGCCAAAATCGCAGAACAGGTACTCTGTTTTAGTTCTGCTCAATTATAGGCCAACACTCTTCAGTCTTTGCCACCACACCTCCAATCTGCTCTGGACCTCTAGTGCGCTCTCGGCAACCAGCACAATATTATCGGCAAACAGCATAGACCAGGGAGCCTCTTCCTGAATGTCCGACGTTATTCTTATCAGGAAGAGGTAAGGGCTGAGAGTCGGCCCTTGGTTGAAGTTGTTAGTGGTGCCCGCTGCAGACCAAACTTGTGTACTGCAGCGACTTTACATAGATCGGATCAACTGCACATATTTCCCAGGCACACCTTTCTCCTTAAGGGCCCACCACAGAACCTCACGAGGTACCCGGTCTTATGCCTTTTCGAGGTCAACGAATACCATGTGCAAGTACACCTCTGTATTTTTCGCTCAACTGGCGTATAGAAAATATGACATCCGTTGTACAACGACCAGGCATAAAACCAAATTGGTTCTGTGAAATTTCACTCCCTTCTCTCAGCCGCCGTTCAATAACTTTCTCCCATACTTTCATGGTATGCGACATTAGCTTTATTCCTCTATAATTGTTGCACTCAGGCACATCACCTTTGTTTTTAAAGATGGGCACCAAAGAACTGTTGCACCATTCATCAGGTATGGCTTCTTCCTGCAACAATTTATTGAAGAACAAAGCCAACCACACCCATCCATCTACTCTTAATTACTTCCACACCTCAACTGGTATTCCATCTGAGCCAATGGCTTTACCATTTTTCATTCCATTCACTGCTACTCTAACTTCCTCCATACTAACAATTCTCACTAACCCCACATTCACTGGTTTATTCTCTAAAACCCCACTCCAATTATTTTCCTCATTCATAAGTCTTTCAAAATATTCCTTCCACCTCTCTTTGTTTTTGTCATTATCCGATAGAACCATTCCACTTTCATCTCTTACACATCTTACCTGGCAAACATCCCTCGCCTTTCTTTCCCTCATTCTAAAGAGCCGGTACAGCTCTTTCTGGCTTGCAGGACTTTCTAAATGTATTATATAGTTTGTCCTGGGCTTTTGCTTTTGCAATACGATAGTTTCCAACTATCGTCATAACATCTTTGCGTCAAATATCTTACTTAATTCTTAATAATTAGCTAAAAAAAATATAAAACCAAGTGATCGATGAATAAAAGTATAGTTATTTTTCAATATTTTATCGTATTGAAACGTCGAATTAATTTATTTTTGACCTATGAAACTACCCAATTGCCACGGTTTCATCAATCATTTAAAGCATCATACTCACTCTTTCTTTCAGCTTACATGCATACCATCAATGAACGTCATATATTTCTCTCTATGCATTTCTTATATGATAATTTCCTTGAATATCTACCCGAATCCTCGTAGATCTCGATGACAAACTCACATTAAAAATATTTGATTGGTTTGGAATTTAAAGGATTTTTATTTTTGACATAATTAATGACAAACTAATGATAAGGTGTGTTAATAATTTATAATATAATGTAATGTATAAGTAAATATAATCAGTTTCAAGCAGCCTAACTTTTATTTATTCCTAAACATGATACAATTATAAGCATTTATTATATACACTCAGTATTAAAAAAGATATACCTACCTACACTTGTAGTTTTAATTCATGAATTAATGTTTTGATACAGTAATAGAGTCCAAAATGACGATTCAAGGAGTAACGTCAGTAATTTGCTTATATTAAATTACGTATAAAATTATGTTATCACAAATATTGACTGGTGGGTAAATTCATTTTTTAAATGTTTTAAAATTTAAAGTAAATGCATTAAACATAATATTTAGGTAGATAAATTTAAACCTATTAAAATATCTGAACATAGTAAAATATTGCTATATGGGGCAGTTATAACGTTTGTTAATTAATTATTTATATTCAAGCTACTATAACAGGAATCATAAAGTTCTGTGACCTTATTTTGAATAATAATAATGATCACTTAACCAACTGTCTCAGTATCATGGACTTAATATCTTCAAGCCATTGTTCTTTATACTCTAAATCAAGTATATTCCTAAAAGATTTTGTTCGATCCGTCTCGCACATTTTACCAGTAAGCAAATAAGCTACTGATTCTACACACAAGAAGCCCATGCCTTCACTGAGTGACCATACATATATCTTATCAGCAGTATCCGGATTTAACTGGAACTGTAAGATTGCACTGCTCAGTAGTCCTTTGAGTTTTTCGAATAAGAATCTATCGGCTAACAAAAGAACTTCTAAATTCGTTTCCAGTTTCTCAGCCATTGGAAAAATTTGGACATCATTCTTGGGGTTGTTCAATCCAAAATGCAATAAGGTAAAAAGATATTCCAGTGCAGGTTTGGTTACATTCTTCAATCTGACACATTTTTCTTCAGATTCCTTGAAGCATCCCATCAACATGGCGCTAAAAACTTCAGAGTTTTGACATAAAAATACTCTGTTTGCCTTAACTGTTGTCAAGTCATCCAGTTCAAAAGTAACAATTTCGTCAATGGACAAGTTGTCAAGTATAGGATCGTAACTAACACATATTTGACCTGTGAATCTATTTTCAAGAACTTTAGGGTCTTTTATGTGCACGTTGTTGGCTAATTTTGCTAATGCTGTAACGCAATCTTGTATGTCTTCTTTAGATTCGGCTATTATGGAGAATAACAAGTTGAGTCCGCTGCAGTCTATCAAATACTTCTTGAGAGGTTTTTCAGTTCTGGAAACAAAGGAGATGTTAAAAAACGAATAGGAGGTAAAGAAAATTATAATAAATGATATTAATAATATAATATTACATATATGAACGAAATAAAATTATAATAAATGAAGTCTACCTTACGATGTAGGGTAATGTCAACGACAGTGTTTGCTTCATGGTCGAGCTTCCCTTGAGCAACTGGTAGCTTATTTCACCAATACCATAACTTGACTCTGCCAATATCGTCAATTGACTTAACAGTTTAGCACTTAACCTTAAGATCTGAAAGGATGAACAGTCAATAATTACATTATTTAGTTACATATACACAGATTTTTTCGTATTTACATATTATACGATAAGACTTACTTGTTTGCATTGCTGGCATTTGGTAGGCGGATGTTTAGAGGAGACGGACATGTAGTGTAGTCGTAGAGCTAACCTATGTTTCAATATGCTCATTAGGCAAAGAGCATTACTGAAAAATAATACACATTAATATTATTATTACACGTGCAAGTCTCTTTTCTTATTGACTTGAGAACTAAAGTCAATCAGTAGGTACTACTTAACACTGATCCAAATATCGTTTTATTACTTATTTATTGTAAATATGCATAATAGCTTACATTCAGTCTGAATTTTAGCGACAAACCCATGTATAGACACACAACCTATGGGCAGTCAAAATCTAAAATCTTATGACATAATAATTCAAGTTCCTTAAAATGGGTAATTAAGAAAAATAATTTAATTCTATAAAACAAAGAAAAAAAGCTAGAATATCCAAATAAAAAGTACCTTAATACTCTAGCAAGAATGCGAGCAGCTCGTCCAAGAGGTCGCTTGCACCTTTCCACGTAGTCTAAGAGAGCATTCAGGCACTCCCGTCCCGTCAACAGTTCCAGTGTTTGGTTGGGCACTGGTTCCTCGCGAATGGCACCAAATGAACTACAAGCTCCGTGCGAAACGCGAAACAGTAGTACCAGTACACACGCAATGCGAGAAGATTTAGTATTTGTGACCAATTTGGCAGCATCTAAAAAGGTTTATTATATTTTTATTTCCCTGTCCCGAGTAGGTATAGAACGATGAAATAATAAAACACAGGAAAAGCCACAAAGAGTAAAGTAATTAACTTTTTATTTGAGATTATTGAGCATAACATTGCGTTGCATATGTGTAATATACAAGCATTATATAAGTATTGTTTACCTTCTAAAGGAGTTTCTTCTTCGATACTCTCGTCGTCTTCCATGATGAGTTCGTCGAGATCATGCGCCACTTGCGCCGCATCAAGTTCAGCGGCTGCGTTACTAGGCCCGGCTAAGTCCACTATTTCACCCTCGTTGTCACTGCACACGGGCGAGTAACGACCAGATATTTCTGAATCAGAACTATCTGAAATTCAATGTACAATTAATTTGGCATCCATTTCCACCCAGCCCAAAGCAGAAATTTGAGATTTATAACCAAAATAATTTTATCAATAAAGACAAAAATACCATAGGTACCTTCTTTATTGCTATAAGGTGATGTGGGCCCTCCAGAACTACTGGGGCTCCACTGATAGTCAGTCCAATAAGGCGACATAGAACTGGCGTCACCAGAACTGACGCCTGACTCAGGACTCCAGTCCCACCTAGCACGCTTATTAGACGAAAATCCTCTGTACTCTGGGCTGAAGCCAGACTGACATCCATCGGAATATGGAGACATTGGGCCATGATCTCCCCTATCTGGGCTCATAGATACTCGCGATCCTGACGCTTGTGGGTTTGTGGGCCATTCAGGACTTTTGGGTTCCCAATAAACACCAGCTGACCAATCCTTACTGGCCATTTTAATCAGTTGTGATTTCTGGAATATAATTGATTATAAATATATAATAAAAAAATTATTATTAAAAAAACAAAATACCCGACTGCACACTAAAAAAAGAGTAAAACAAGCCCCACAATACAAATTTACTGAATATAATTTATAAATGTTGATGGAAAGCATCGCAGGCGGGGACCAACAGAGGCTTATTTATAGTCATTTCTGTTGTGCACCATTTAGCAGAATTTTCGTTGGTGGCGGTCAAGGTGGTCCCCGCCTGCGATGCTTTCCATCAACATTTATAAATTATATTCAGTAAATTTGTATTGTGGGGCTTGTTTTACTCTTTTTTTAGTGTGCAGTCGGGTATTTTGTTTTTTTAATAATAATTTTTTTATTTATAACTTTTTAGCTGTTTTTATTTAACGAAAATGTTGTAGATGTAGAAGACTATGTATATGTTTCGCGTCAGACGACGAAGTATCGAAAAAATCGCTATTTAGAGACGACCGTCAACGACGTGTGCCCTTATGCGTGTGCCCGCATTCGGGCTGTATACTCGAGCATATCCCCCCCGCACCGCGCCGCGCGCCGCATGCCAGGCCACGCCCTATCTTTTTGCTTGCTAACGCATGAGTTGCTTTGCGTTGACGCAGAATTAACATGTTCCCGTGGGAATTTTGAGAAAAAACGTATCCTATATTAATTACTCCCGTGATTGAAATGAATCTAATGATACCGCATACATATTTTTTTAAAGGGAAATTTAGAAAAAATATTATTATGTCTTTATCCCGTGGGACTTTTAGGATAAAATGTATCCTATGACACTCCCGTAATCAAGACAAATCTAACGATACCTCATACATCAAAATCCATCAAGCCGTTTAGGCTACAGGAGGTCACAAAGGAAAAGACATACATACATACTTACATACACTCGAAAAACATTACCCTCCTTCTTTGGCAGTCGGGTAAAAAATACATGTTTGTTGATTTAAGGGGCAAAATGGTACCGCCGACTATTCGGAACAAAGTCAGAACCCCTAACTCTCAACTTGGAAGAATTGCAAATACAAAATTCTTAATGTAGATCTATATATATTTTGTCTGTTAAATATAATTTGAATTAGGGTCAATTACGCCGAAACGAGTGGTGATAAGTAAGAGGCCAGTGAACATCGCGCTGTCACGTAAATGATTGATTTATACTTAGAGTCTCTCTTTTAAAGTGTGCGATTTGCGTCTCGGTGTACACTTACCCTAAAGTAACACAAAACACCTTACCTTTTTAATGGTTTTCGGGCTATTAGACCTAGCTCTCTTCAGGCCCTTACGTCTATTAGGCGATACTTCGTCTTCACTCTGACTATCATCTGTAGCGTCACTATCAACCGCATCCACAAATCCTACGATCATATTGTCTCTTTCTATTACTACCTTCAATTCATCTTCATTTTGCCCAGATAATGGACCTTTACGTCGTGCAAAAAGACTTGCTTTTCCTTCAACACTGCTTGAGCTAGGTTCAGAAGGTGGCATTTCAACATCAGATTTAACTTCTTTTGAACTTTCTTGGATTTTATTATTTGATTCGGTAACAACTGTTTTATGCTCCGTATTAGAATGCTCGTCTTTCATTGTAGTTAGATATGCAGTGAGTTCATCAGTAAGCAAGCTTACAAGACCTTCATTAACTAAAATTTGGAATGCTGTAATGTAAATTATAACACATTTTAATGTTTGTAATCGCAGAGGTATATATAGTTAAGTTAATGACTGTTAAGACTTGCCAATAATAATCTAGCTGGTACCAATTTATGAGAAACTTATTGGAAAAAGGTAGTTATAATTATGCTTTTGTAGAAACTTACAAGTGTCGTCAAAAACGTATTGGAGAAGTGCGTGCATGGCGTGTGGGTTAATTCTTGCTGCGGCTACCAACAATGGTAAGCCGCCACAGTGTCGTAAACGCGATCGGTTCACAGATTCACCACTCAGCTGTGCCAGGGCTTGCGCCGTACCTTCCGGCCAAGAAGCAACATCTGTAATATTTTTGAGATCCTTTTAGAGTTATACTCCAAAGTAAAATTAAAAATGATTTATTCCCACTTAATCATAAAAAATACAACAAGTCTGTTAGTCAGTTCGTCAGTCAAGCTAGGTGCTCGTTCCAAAGTGTAGATTCGAATGGAGAAAAACAAGCAAGACACTTCAAGTTCAATTTGTTGTGAGGACAATGCAGAAAACATATTGTTAACAAGAGGGCAAATGATGGGATCATTTCCTCAACAATGGGATCAATACTTTACTAATGATTCCCAATGAACCTTATTAGCATGAGCCACTAGCGAAGGACAACGAAATAAAACGAAACCAATGAAACGAAATTTAAAAAAAATTGGTTTACTGTGAATGCAAATGGTTAACTGTCTTGTTTTCTGTATTATTCTGTAATCATCATTAGCTGAACCTGGGTATCAAAACCATCGGGTATCAAGCCTTGATCGTAAATTAGTAAACAACTAAGACAGATTTGATTCTTTTATGCCAAGGCTAACATATATTAATTTAATTTGATCAAATAACAAGATTAAGTGAATACCTGTATTTTTCTGTAGTATGCCCACTAAACACTCTACAAACCCTGCAATGCCCAGTAAAGGGCGACAGCTTGACAGGTAGCATAGATTCATAAGACACTTCAAAGCCAATGACTCAAACCTCTTTGTTAGTGCTACTAGACACTGATACCCTCTACCATCTCCTTGGATCTGAAAAAAAAAACTTATTTTCAGATTTCTTTAGAAATTGTGCACTGCAACAAATATACAGCATTAGGCCAGTCAGAAAATAAAATAATACATGGTAATAAGATATAATTCAAAAAGTTTTGAATTTGACTTGGAACAATTTTGTTATTATTTGGGTTTAAGAATACCCTTTATATATATTTTTTTAATCCTGTAATCTAATCATGTGCAGTTAGTTATACAATACCTGTTCAGCACATTGTGCAGTAGAATGGGTAGTAAAGTATCCAAGACACTTCAATATCCCAGTAATAAGTTCTTCTTGACTCTTCCTTAGACCTTCCATTTCACGTGCTATAGTGGTAGATTTAATAATACCAGCAGTCTCACATTCAGTTGTCAGTAGTATTGCTATGCATCGGACTGAGTTTAAACTAAGCATCTCTTCCCTTTTTTCGTTTACCATCCATAGTTGCCTGGAAAACATTATTTAAAAGTATTGTTAATTGTTGATTTGTCAGTTGAAGTCCTGAACGGCATGTGCAGTTTTTCAAGAGTGAATATGTCATTGCTAAGCACTAAGAAATAAATGAACAAATACCCTCTTTTTTATTTCACGGAAAATTATCAAATGACTTTTTCCATATAGGATAAGATGAGAGAGAGTATCAGAGTCTTACTGACTAAAAGCCCCCAGTTCCTTCTCCTGCTCAGGGCGGAGGCCGTGGTGACTCACTGTGCTTAACCAGCAACCTCGACCATTGAACAAATACCCTGGAGGAATACTCCTATTAACTGACATAACTATAATACTGCATTTACATTCAGATATAGTGAGCAGGGAAGTGGGCAGGATGAGTATCTTAACTTATACTTAACATGCCACTTGTGCTGCCCAGCACTCCCCAAAAGAGCGGTGTTTAATGTGGAATTCAAAGAACTTGCAGCACAAGCGGCAAAATGTATTTACATTCTGCAAAAATTTGATAACTGGAACTTATTAACTATTAGAGCAAAGTTAGAGGAAGGGCAGTATGGCAGTATGTAAACACACTTATCGTTCCATGACCCTGTTGCAGCAGTATTTAGGGAATTATTACTGGCATTAAGCAGCGATAGGGGCTTAATGAAAATGAGGCACTAGGAGGTAATAAATTATGTACCTGATAGCCCGCACAGCCATAGTGAGGGTAGGGTATGAAGTATTCTTATCTCTGTTCTCAATGAGTGTAACTAGTGCAGTCACAGCACCATGATTGTGTAAGCCATCTGCATTAGTGTTTCTTTGTGCCAGATTCCCAATTACTCTGCATGCTCTACCAACTATGCTATCACGGCACACTGTTTTTATAATATTCACCAATGGTGCAAAACTGTATTTACCAACCTGAAAATATGAATAATGAACAAAAATACAGCTTAATAATATTACTAAAATATTATGCTGTGCAACATACCTGTAACAAGTTAAATTCTAACTTAAATAGTCTGTGTTTAATATTACTTACCACCAAGCTGCTTTCTTCTTCAAGACAACAATTACCGAGTATACTTAAGGTAATATCAAGTATTCTTTCATTGGGCTTTCGCAAATGTGGCAACAAATATTCTAAGCCACCACATTCCCTAAAAAGTTTGATTCCAGTGTCATTGCTGATGACTTTATTCCTTATTTTTAACAGGGTTTCTTGGACACGACTAGAAGATGATGATTTCAGGCCTTCTATAATGGATTTGACATAATTTGAATCCATTTTCCACACAAATTGGAATTTAAAATTTTAATAACAAAGTTTTGACATTTTCTATTTCATTGTCCAGCTGATTTTGTCTATGATCAATTTATAAAAATCTTTTTAGTCTTTCGTTTTAGACGCACCATATTGCTTTCTCTGTGCTTTAGTTTTAGGGAACTAATATATTTTTTTTAATTTTTAAAATAGTAATAGTTAAAGTAATATGATGATAATATAAGTTTAGCAATACTACTCAAAGAAAAATTAAAGTTACATAGATTCATCACTATTCATAAAAAACTTATAGAACAAATGAACTATGATGGTTGATGTATTGAAGCGACACATAAAGCTGTATTGAAGTTTGTGAAGTCTATGTTTTCTGACATCTGTGGTAAATAAAAATGAAGAATTTGCAATGCGATGACAGTATTTGCTATAACTTTTTTACATTGATTAAATTACATATTTAAATTATATTTGATTGTATTGTAACATAAATTTGACATGAAATCGTTTTCTAAGAGATGAGTGTCTTCGGAGATTTTCAACGCGTGTGGGTGCAACGTTTTCCAGAGAGTGCTTTACCAGCAGCTTGGGAAGAAGATGTCAGGGCCAATTTAGCTAAACACAAACAAAAAGTTGCTATACTGAGAGAGGAATTGGAGAAAGAAGAGTTTTATGTAGAGTACTTAGAAACTTTGCTGTCAGATGTTGAGAAACATAAAGCTGCCGCACAAGGCAATAGGACGGCTCCGCCCTCGGGGGGTGACGTGAACGATCTCGACGATAAGCCTCCTGATAGCAAGCAGGTAAATCTTTATGATTGTATTTACTTATTACTGTGCCACATAACAATCACACAATCCTTTATTTTTTTTTAAATATCGTAAGAGATAATTTTAATTGCTATAGGTAGTGCTTTTCTTGGTGATAATTATTATAGGATTATCTAACAGTAGCCTAGTAAAATACGAATTTGTGAAGATTTTGTAGTAATACCAAACCCAAGAGACAAATAAGTTCATGTCATAAAGTTATAAGTTAAGTAATGACTCAGTGTCTTATTAGTGGTATGAGCATTGCAGGAGTAGTATAATGTTATTAATATAATAATTCATAGAATCAACCTGTTTTTCCTTTTCAATCCACTTTGTGTATTTGGTATGATTCATGAACTCATTTGAGCCTAACCAATCATTATTTATTTTTATTGTTAAATATGAATAATAGTCATTATAGTACTCTATATATATTCCAAATATAAGTTTTAAGAGTACTGTGTAACTGCAGTGATGTAATTTAAACTCTGTGGTGTATAGATTTAATTACCTTATTAATTGGATTATTTACCTACTGTATCAATAAAATATAAAATATTTATGTAATTTGTTCATTATCATTATTATGTAAAGACAAAACTTTCTAATACATTTGAAACTAAACAAAATTAGTTTAATATATTTAGATATTCTGGCATAAACCACATCTTATTTTAAAAATGTAAAGTCTCAAATAAGGTGATGTGATCTGCTTAAATATGTTTACAATTGATAATGATTTTTACCAATTGATTTATTACAAAACACAGCTTGTTTTACCAATAAGATAGTAATCTAATAATTAATTTATTATTTAATCATTCACAATTTCAATTAGCCTATGTAATCTGCATAAATTACACTCTTAACATAATTTTTTAAACTAATGTTTTGAAGTTATTTATTTGTAAACATCTTATGGCTATTAATAAATCAACATCATAATGTTCAAGTAAAATATACAATTGATTAATGTAGTTCAACATTACACATGCAGTATTCATAACTGCGGTATAAATGTTAGTGTTATGGAAATATTATTCACACATGAGTGCTAATTAATTAATATTTAATGGTAACTGTTAATTGATTTGTGAAGCGTGTGAAAGTAACAGTATATCTGACCTCCTTCATGGTTGTTTAATGTCTTGCAACATAAGATTGTCTACAAATGGTTATACAACTAGCAAGGTGTGATGAATCATCAATGAGGATGTAAATGAGATGGCTGTTATAAGGCTCTGCATATAAATAAGTTCCTATACCAATACAGACACACAAAGCTGTCATATATTCCATGGATTATAGTATTGTTATTGTTGAGTCAATATTATTATATTGTTTGACTCTGAACTTAGCAAGACATAGCTATCTATGTATGGACTGTTTAAACATACAGAACTCACTCATTTAGTTGTTTTGTGTGCGTTGTTACATCATGAACTAAATTAGATGAAGGCATGTCATTGTACTAATTAGTGTAGTATGAGGTAAATGGCACATTGGTATTCATAAAAACTTAATTATGAACCTGGTTATTACAGTTATTTAGATTGGCATTTCTACATCCTCTTGGGTAATAATACGAAACCATTTACCACCAGCTATTCAAGGCTGAATTACTAAGTGAATTCTATCATAATTAATTATATTTTAGGGATCCACCACAGACCTGCTATTAAAGAAAAGTGACATCAGCCTCAGCAGCAACAAAAGTGAAGACTCCACACCAGAAACTGCTGAATGTGAACCTGTGCAGCTTAGAAACAAACCAGCTCGTATAACTGAGAGAAGTTCAGTGAATCAATGCATCAATGAGTTGTCAAACCTTGCTGCAGAAGCAGCTCGGAGAAGATGTAATAGTGAAATAGTCCAGAGAACTGACATTAATCAAGATACTAATGGTAAATTATTGCTATAGTTACAATTTCACATACTACTAAGGATACAATCAGAACCTTTTCTATAGTATTAACTAAAGTATGAAATGCATACCTAATTACTATAGCATTTGCATTGCTTTATCTGTTTAATACAAAACTTATGTACATAAAGTCACCTTCCAATCTTGTTTATTTTCTGAATGTTCTACTGTTCTTTGTTGTAGTTTAGGTTATCAATTATGTAATATTATAGATTATGAAATATTAACATAATTGCAGTAGCAGTAGAACAAACAAGTCCAAATCAAGCCAAAAACCGTCCAACGTCACAAACTGGTGATTTTGTAACAGTCATCGAAGTAAATGGTCTGAAATTAGCAGAATCTGCTTCCAAGAAGTCAGAAGAGTCCCAGCAGTCATCAGAAGGCAGTCCTGTTGATCCTGTTGCTATAGCTAAGAAGAAAGTCCCACCCAAGTAAGGCACTGTTTTTAAATTGATGTTATTATACATTAATTTCTTAACAATTTCATATTTGAGCTTATCGACATTCAGAGTGTGGGATGCAAGACAGTAATATTTAAATTAAGCTGTATGTCTTTTGGCCACTTTCAGACCACCACCGAAAGTGTTCAGTAAGCGCGGAGCTTCTTTACCGGAGACTGGTCTAGCAGAAGATAGTCCGCCTTCCTCTTTGGGGCGTAGAATTCGAAATGCGGAATCTCGCGAGTCCATTACTAGTAGAGCGTCGACGCCCTCCATTAGTGAGAGAGTAAGTACTCTTATGACCTTCATAATAAATTTTTCGTTTGTAAATATAGTGGTTCATATTTCCTAACAATGTATCGGTAAACGATTAATTTTGTTTACAGGTAAAAAGTTATGAATCTATCAACTCCCTGTCGTCGGAACGAAAGCGTTCGGGTGGAGCGGCCACGCCTCGGTCTATTGATGAGGAGGCGACATCCACTACACCGGACTTAGGAGAAGCCACCGACGCTGACAAGTCCGCGCCCATTTCCTTAGAAAGCATACCAGCAGCCGTGCCTGGTTCTGAGGATGAGCCATATTATGATCAAGTTCCCGTAGACATTAACGACGGCGAATATGTATACATACAAGCAGGTTTGTAGTTTTTTACTTGTTTGAATCATTGGGACAGTTACCTCAATGTACGTAAATTACCCAACTTAGTGTCAGACAAAATGACAATTAAGACAATTGAAGTAGACTAGCAGTTGAAATGTGAAAATGAACTGGCTATTCATTTTTGTAACACAACATAGTGACATAATTATTTGAAGAGAAAAAAATAGTCTCCTTTATGGTTTAAAAAGTTATTTGTCTTTATTGGCATTAATACCACATTGCCGATTGTGATAAGTAAAACTAAACAATACCTGGTCTAAGTCTATATTGGTCTGCATCCAATAATGGCAAAATTATTCTAATTGTATACTTTATTATCTAGGTGGCACGGGTTCAAGTACAGAGGATGGTTCGAGCGGGACGAGCACTTTACCACTGGTGGGCAACAGCGCGGGCAGTGCGGCGGGTGGGGCTGCGCCCTCCGCGCCCACCGCGCCGCGGGCGCTGGACTCGCCGCCCTGCGCCACCGCACCCAACTACGTCAACATACATTACTTCCTACAGTAAGTTAATGAAACTAACTGTTCTTCACTACATTTTCGAAAAGAAGATACTTCATTTTTCACTTACAAAATATCATGCCTTTTAATACCAAAATGAATGGGCGTAATGTTACACTCACAACCGGTTTCCGAAAGGCTGATCAATGTTAAAATCAATTTAATATCTTGTCAAGTCATCTGATTGGTTGACTGAATTATCAAACACCAATCAGATGACAAGAGATTTGACAAAGGGTTAGTTGATTTTAACTTGGATCGGGCTTTCGGAAATCGAGCATCAGTGTTGACTTTGAGCTACTGCTTGAAAATATTTTCATTCTATTAGCCAACAATTTGATTTAACTGCCTGCCAGGTGTCGGTACTTGAACGCTTTGAAATTCTCACAACCGCTTTTTTATACTGTCACGTTTTTATCTCCTAATGTTGTACATAATGAACCATAATGTCACATATACATAAACACCTCATGTTATGAGTTGTGTGTATTGTCATAATCCGGATATAATGTTACTACTGAGAAATTTTCGAAAAGCCGAAAAAAAAACCAATGTTTTGCCCTACTGGGGATCAGCACCGACACCACTGTTCAGCTGTTGCACCATCGAACCAACGAAGCAAGCTATATTTATGTTATACTCCGCCCGCGTGGCTGACGATTTTACACTTTTTAAACTTTTATTATTTTTTTCTATATAATAACCTTCTCGGGACTTCTACGAATAATTCAAGACCAAAATTAGCCAAATCGTAAAACATAACAACGAAAAGTGGCATTGATTGATTTTTTATTTATGTTATATTTGTTTGTAGGAAAGGTGGTGATGGCACTGAACCAAGCGACACAGCCTCTGAACTGGCTGACTCTAGCGACACGCCACTACTGTTGCGAACAATATCTTCAGATACAGAAGCCAGCGCCACACCTCCTGCGCTCAGGAAACTACATACTCAGGTAGGTTTACGTGACTATACACGTCAAATATGCGAAGTCCTCATGTAATAAAGCATTTAGTACAAAACGTGTTTATTTAATAATAACATTTCACCTTAAAAGAAAGTGTTGCGGCGAATAGGTAGCAAACTTTTTACTTCTCAACACTATAATTAACACATATGTGTATTGAAGTAGGTAGCGCTGACTTGCGCTATACTGATTGGCTACTATAATATTGGTTACTATTTATTTTTTAGCATAGATTGGTATAAAAATATAGAGTACTCCTAGATATAATAACAGGGTTCACGAAAAAGGATTTGGGATGGCAATCATCATCATCAAGCTTAGTCATATTATGTAATGTGTGTTGTTACTTAAAATACTGAAATACAATAAATAGTTCGCTCCTTGACGGCACAGTTTGACGCGGCGGCTGGGGAACCGCCTGCCGTTCATCATGGTGCGGGTTCGATTTCCGTACGTACAACTCTTTTGTTGATTCACAAATTGTCGTTCCGATTCTGGGTGTGATATGTATGTAATCTTGCAAGTAAAATGTAGGTACCCACAATACAGGATAAAATACTAGTGTGAGGTAATTTCATAAAAAAGTATTGATGGAACAACAATCTGGCATAAATTATTAAATCTTACAAACTATATATAATCATGGCCAATAAATCATAGAAGAGCTGTTGCAAAAAAAATCACGTCAATATTCTATATTGATGAAGTTAGCAGTTTCGCTTCGGTTGAGCTAGTATAAATTACTTCTTCATACTACGGACGGACGCCGCAGAATAATTAGCGGTTGATGAAATATTCATAATATAGAAGCAGAAAATAAATAGGTTTGTGGTGAAAAAAAAACAATCAATACCTAATTAGCATTTATTGAAAAAATAACATTGAGGTCTAAAAGATGGATCGATTAATGCCATGACAGTTCTATTGACAATAAATTATGAAATGTTATTCAGTGCCTTTACAATTTTAACCATTATCTCTAAGTTAACACAAATATCATCTAAAAAAGAATTTAACAAAGCTTAAACGTTTCGTTATCTAGAAATGAGTCAAGAGATAAGGAAGTTTTATAGAATTTACACTTACTACACGTTTCCGCTTTACGGTTATAATAATCGCATTCCATTGTTTGTAGTGATAATAAATGACAGACAAGCTTCAGTTGTCTTTAGTACAAGAACTTATTTTGTCCAAGGAAAACGAATGTAGAAAATCGACTTTAATTCTGTGGTGTTACATTCTGTCTGTAAATAAAATATGTAGTTTAATAACAATTCGCATTCTCATTAAATATTTAATTTTGATTTTAATATAAGAAAATTCACTACATTCCATGGGAAAACAACGTATAACAAATAAAATAAATAAAGAAGTATATATGAAATTAAAATCTCGAGTAAATGTCTGTGTATTCCTACAGACTCGTAGGAATACACAGACTCTGTGCTTAGAACTTACTAGTAAAGTCAAAATCATTTAAATTATGGATTCGAATAGAGAAGAACGAGCAAGAAACTCTAAGTTTACTACGTTACGTTACTATTTAAAAAAAAAGATATACAAACCCTTTAAAATGTTGTCTGACCTGGAATTCGCATCCAAGTATGTATTGTTCTTGCTAGGCAGACGCACTTGCGAACGCTTCGTTAAATAATAATTCTAAGTAAACTATTATAGAAGTTACTCACCTTGAATCACTCGCTGGTTGAACTTTTTCTTTAGAAATATTATCTTGGTCTGCTTGGTCTATGGTAGACGACATTACCGCTTCTAGTTCTAGAGGCTGCTCTACTGTTGTTATAACTTTTTCAGTTTCATTTTCCACAGTAGCTTCAATAACGCCAGCAGGTTCTCGTATTTCAAGCTTTTCTGTTGTTGTTTTATCCGGTACATCAACTTTCGTTGTAGTCTCTGGTGTCTTCGTCACAGAAGGTTCAGACTCAGTTATAATATTATACTCTCTACATTCTCCTCTAAAATCTGTGTCATAAATGTTGCAAGTAATGTTTTTACATTGCCACTGATCGCACTTCATTGTTGTACAAGTTTGATCGTTACACCAAATAGTCACGTTGTGACTCCTGATGTCTACAACTCCATTGGGATCCAATGTCGTCGATCCTAGAAGCTTTTCTGTTACCGGCTGGTCGACTTCGCCAGAGCTCCACCAGTAAAACGGATATGTAATCCAACCCCATATAGATGTCATGATACTGCGGCCCTCGGTTAATTCATCTGGAATATTTGTAAAATAAGATTATTAGAACAAAGAATTTTGAATTGAAGATAAAATTAATTTAGATTTGGAAAATATACTTACTTTGTATGGTTGGTTTGCATATGCAACACTGCACTGAACATAAGATAAATAGCACGGTGAAGATCTTAGAAACGAGCATAGCGACAGCTAGTACGGATGTCCTTAACGGGAATAAATGTTTAAACAGTCCTGGCTCACCTTTATATAGTAAGCTCTCCTAAGTACATTATTATCTTAGACGAGATAAGGCCCCATAGGGAATGTTTACTTAATGAGCTAGGAACGACCATTCCTCAAACCTTTGAAATGCCGTAATTGTTTTTTATTAATAGGCTTTTCACTACATTACTCAATATTTTGTTTCTGACAAAGTTTCCGAGGCAATGGTTTATTTATATTTAATATAGTACGAACAAAATCGCTATGAAGAAAAACACAACTTTCAGTAAGTATGTTAAATCTCACAAATTGTAAGATGTAATTATTGTAAAGAGATTTGAGTAATTTACAGCAAAATACTGTAACTACCGTGTACTACCATGTAGTAAACCTACAATGGTGTTCATTAAAGAAAGGTCACATTAAAATCAAAACTATTTATTTAAAAAGCTGGTGTCATATGTTTGGCAATTTGTAGAATCCTCTTCAATGTAATCATGCATACTAACTTCACATAGAACGCAATGTTTCTTAATGTTTGGGCATGCCAAAAATCTGCAGACTGTTCTATGTTTATTGCAATGCGTTAGAACCTTTAGTCGGCGTTGTTTTGTGTAATTCAATTTATAATGATTGATAAGGTCACCAACAGACGCATCAGTAATGTTGGGAGCATTATCAATCGCGTCCCTTAATCCATTTTTCTTCTTGGTTCTTAAAGCTTCTATTGTTGATGATAAATTTATGATTCGATGGTTCGGTATCCTTTTTACTACTATTTCACCATTTGGATGAAAGTCCACAATTTTCGCTTTCAGTTTATTTATTTTTTTCCATGGATTTATGTAACTATCTTCACCTACCTAGTTTATAAACAAAATTAGACCTTAATATAAAACCAAATTAATTTATTTCTTGTTGACTACTTACCGGCAAAGCAATGAGCCATTTTCCAAAAAAATATATTAAAATTAACTTCAACAAAAGATTCGGTTGAAAAACCATATTATCGAAACCTGTGATTGAAAAAACTAAAAAAATATGTGCTTATCAAAGCTGGAAAACACAATTGAATTATTTTTTCTAAACAAAGGCTTTTTTTTTGTTTTGAAATAGGTTTATTTACTAAACATTAAAGAACTTACATAATTTTTACGGTCTTAGCATTCGAACAATGGCCAGCTGCGTTTAACTCCTTGATGGAACATCGAGATTTCACAAAATTCTTTTTAGATGCGGCTAGAGTGATACATTTGGCGTTAATACAAAATGTTGCTTTCCCAAATATTTTTCCTAGCATTTTGTTTTGCAGAATATCAACAATTTCAAATGCTATATTTGAAGGTAAATCCATGATTGATTCCATCGATGCTAGGCTATCTAAAAATGAAGACAAAGTTTTAGATGACAGAATTATTAAAATACAATTATAAGTATAATTATTAAAGTTAATAAATAGGTAACCTGTACTGTTAGTCCCGGCACAATGTCCTCGGTTATTCAATCTATCTGACGGCCTGCAAACTCTATGCAGACACGTTTTATTCGCGCACTTCATAGAATGGCAAACTTTGTGGGAACAAAATGTTAATACTCCTCGAATATACTTTCCCACAAAGGACATAAAAGCTGGAGCAACAGCTTCGACGTCGTCCCAGTCCACATTACCAAATATTGCCTGTTCCAGAACTCTGGTGTGGTTTGCATGAATTATGTCTTTACTCATATTTATCTTTGACTTCTTGTGTTCGTTTTCCAATATCAGAGTTGTAATACTTTTTGATTCGATAGTTTCCTTGCTACGAGTTACAGAAGGCCAATATAACAATTCTGCATCGCTTAAAATATTTTTGTCTGCTTTCTTCCCGTTGCTTTTATCTTTACTTATATTGTCTTTCGTTGGTTGCGGAACTATTGAGATGTCGCGTTTTTTACGTGTTGATGAAGATGGCAGTTTTGAAGTAGTATTAGTGATTTTTTTTGGGAAATCAGTTTCGATACTATTTTCGATTTTATGACCGTCTTCTGTTCCATTATAAGAATTATTATTTGTAATATTAACCATCCAATAAATACTTTCTTCTGTCTGAGTTTCGTTTAAGATATCATCAGTTTTATTGATCATAGAATTAATTTCTAATTGTAATACATTTGAAGATGGTACATTAGTATCGTTGGTTGTGTTGGTGTTGTAGTCATTCTTAAGCGTGTCACTGTTTGTTTCATTAAAGTGGTTGGGGAACAATGGTTGCTGTTCTACCTTAATGTTGTGGAAAGTTATAACTTTCTTGCGATGTTTCTTATTGTTATTGTTTGCCCTGGACTTTTTCTTTTTATGAATTGTTATTTTATGTACTGGGGAACTAGACTCATCTTTACTGTATTTTGTCGCTCTTTTGTAACCTAAAAGTTCCATAGGAACAGGGAAATTGAAATAGGGAAATGGCAAATGTACGCCACTGTTTAGTTCATTAGATACAGCATCATCAAAATCAAACATTCTATCATGATTGTGAATTTTAGAGAATCTTGACAAGATCTCTTGAGGTTTTGGTAATTGTAGATCAATTTTTATACGAATATTAAGGGCATTGTCTGTTAACATATCTTTCATGTTTTCGTCATTGATGTAATCCGATTTTTTAAAAGTATTTTCGAATGGTGATAAGTGTTGCAATATAGATTTTTTCTTATCATCAGATGAGTGCATTTTCAATTGCTCCAAGGTATCCTTAAAGGTAGTATCCATACGAACTACACATTGTTTGCAACCACAGTCACAAGGAATGTGCCCACTTTTACAGTAACACGACGATTTAATTGGATCCAAAGATGATTTATGTAAAATAGGTGGCAAATCTATTATTTTCTTTTCGTTGAACACAATGTTTTCGAATGGTAGATATTCTTCACGGTTACCTTTTGAATCTATTGTCGATTCTTGTTTATTCATATATTTTCCCTTTGAATTAATAGGAATAAAGACATCTAATGGGTTATTGAATGATGGAGTTAATTTATAAGCAGTTGGATTATAAAAGCTGTTAGTCAAAACAAAGTCGTCGTGTTTGTCGACATTCGTTTTCGCTTTCGAAAATTGATCATGTCGCGGCAGCGGAGGCACTTTGTTTTTCGTGTTTGATTTTTCTAAATAATTCTTTCTCTGCTTATGTGCTTTCTCTAAATGGTGTTGATATTCAGATAACAACCCCTCTATACCTTCATCACTCTGACTGTCGCTGTTCGCAAATAGATCGAACGGCGAAACCTGAAAGTGATACAAAGAAAGTCACGTAAAAGCGTGTGTGGATACAATTAGCACGAATGTTACAATAATACTTACACCATTATTTTCAAAGTCATTTATTATATCAGCGATATCGCTGTAGATAACAGTATCGTAAAACGGATTCACTTCAATTCGATTAGATTCGGAACCTAAAAGTAAATGAGACTTTTTAGTCAATCAATATTTTTTAAACTTAATTAGTTACGAAGTGTTTCACTTACTTTCTGAATCATAGCAATAAATTGTACTAAGAAGAAAGACAAAAGTAAAAAGTAATATAAGTTTCATGATTCATATGCCATGCAGGAATCCGAAATAATGACTGACTCGAAACTGGCATTTATGGTAAATTGTTTGATGTTTACCCTTGTAGATTGTATGTTGGTTCAAACAAAAGTTTTAAAGGCTATTGTGTAGTGTTACGAAAGTTGTTATACAACTTTCCTGATTACGTTTACAATTAGATAGGTATTTTTGGCTTTAGATAATAAATAATTTTAATTACTTTCAGGAATCTAGCGGCAACAATGCGGAAGCTGAGCGGCTGACTATGCATCGTTGTATAATAACGAGCATCATCGAGAGTGAAACTGTTTATGTTGAATGCCTCTATGTTATGGAGAAGGTATTATATCGCTTGATTATTTATTATCTATATCCTTATCCGATAAGTTTAAATAAACGAGTTCATTAGGTACTTAGTAGTCGAATGTGGATTTTGATTTGACACTTTGTTTACTATGTATGATTCATATCATATCTCTTCTGTTCATACTCATAACTTAAACCTATCTCTAGGTAATTATCTAATTTGTCAAAAATCCGAAGGTAGCACCTTTGACTCAAATATATAGATTGGAGAGAGAAAAAGAGTGTTCTAGACAAAGAGAATATACTATTATTTTATTTATTATCTTGAAAAGTTTCCTAACAAAACTCAATGCTTGACATATCACCGCTTCGAATTAATTGCGCGATCGTATATTCGTAATCAACAAAGTATGCACTCGGCTTATCAAGAAATTAGTTTTGAAATATGTCGGAATCTGTGTTATGTATGTATATCTATCTCTTTCTATCAAAATAGAAATCGTCATCATGTGTCAGTCTTTACTCTAAGTTTATTTTTTTACACGATATATTTAATTTTATTGTTTCTTTAAAGGTATACGTAAGAAACATAGAAAATAAAGAAAAGACGTTAGTCACTAACGACTTAACGACACTAACTGTGACTTACGTCTTTTCTTTGGACATTCTCATCCTTATTTCGACTCATGATTTTAATCCAGCCTTTCCCAAAGTGAGTGATAACGCCCCCTGGTAGGCTTCAATGGGCCTGCCTTCTGCCTTAAGACAGCCAAAAAAATTTGTATGTTGTAGAGGCGATTTGTGATTTACATTACGACATGAGATATCAGATACGGAGTTTTAGACTCTCACAGACTAAGAACCATCCCGTTTTTTGTGTTGTATAAGTGGATAAGTTACCTATCTTATTATTATTTGTTTCATAAAAACAGAGGCGTATCTTCTTTTAGTGAGCGGTAAACAAAATAAATTTGCGTTCCTCTATTTTAATCCCTTCTCATCGCTTGTTTAATACCAGGAGAGGACTTTTAATTTATCTGTGATTAGCGATACTAAATCTAGGCTCCCTCTTATAACCTACGATTTTTGTATTTATTGTCGCACCACACGTTTGTTGTAATCCTTATTATTTGTTCTGCATCCAATTTCCCTACATTTCCATTAGTCAGAATTTGGATCCATGCAGCCGCAGCTCGACGACTACGACGAGGTCTCTGAATGATAATCTAAAACATTATCTATTATTTCAGTATATGAATGCAATTAAAGCGACGCTGTCTACATCCCAGCCTGTTATAACGGAGGAGGAGTTCAATACGATCTTTTACAAGATATCAGAACTCCACGAGTTACATAAAAACTTCCTCGAGGGATTGAAGGCGGCTGTCGCTAGCTGGGAAGAGCCTCTATCTGTAGGGATACATTTCAAAAAGATGGTAAGTATTTTTTGTTTATTTATGAAATTAATTTTTCATTTCACAATCAAATCTGAATTTAAAGTAAAAATGAAGTGACTGTAGTCCGTGCTATTATTCATATTACTAAAAATCTGCAAAAATCCATAATACCTACAGATTTGAACTACACATGACATCACAGTTGCGCTTACAACGGTTCTACTAATAAAATAACAATTAAACACATTTAGAAATTTGCGTTTTATAAATTGGGTTTTTTTATTTGTTTTTTAGGCAGAAAACATAAACGTTTACGGTGCGTTTTTACACAACTACGGTCGAGCTACTGATGCGGTGCGACGTCGTTGTTCCACGTCGCAGAGCTTTGCACACCTTACGAAACAGATTTCCTGCCACGGACAGCCCATGTCTCTCGACGACCTGCTCCATAAACCAGTCGCCAGGGTTCAGAAGAATGCACTAGTCTTGCATGTGAGTATAATAAAATCTATTAGACACTTATGCCCGTTTTAACCAACAAAAATATTTAAGTGACTCTTAAGCCAATATAAGGGCACTACGACTTTTTAAACTGCCATAGATTCGACATATTACAGAGAAAAAATTATATTTTTTTTATTGCCAATCTAACATCCATAAGTTGAACATGAAGACGCTTGTCAAAAACGTTAATTTACTAACTAAACTTATCTAATCGATTAACTTATCGGTAAATATTGCATAGTTCCTCAACACTAAACGTCACCTAATTAGGGGGTTCTTAATTAGGTAGCCATTAGGACGGTGAAACTGAATTTGAGTTAAGGGATGATTTGAAGGGAAGTTATGGGCACCTTACTTAGGTGACTTTTTAGGGGGATGTTGATGACAACGGGCATTAGTAGATTCGCTAAACAATTAGGTACCTGTCTTCTAAACATGACAAACGTGTCTTCTACAGATAGCAAATAAGAGCACTATTCTATTCATAATCATAATAGGACTCTATTTTTGGTGCCCAAAAGTAGTGCAAGGCTTGTTTTAAGAATAGAACACGAATTATAGCATAGACCTATTTCTTCGGTGTGTGTAAATGGCTTTATGTTCTTATACCTAATATTTGAAATAGGAACGACTCCTTCTTTTTTCAGGATCTTATTAAGTATACTCCAGCCAGTCATCCTGATCACGCTATGTTGACCGAAGCACTGAATATGACGCAACACTTCCTAGACGAATTCAATATTATACAAACTAAATCCATGTTCCCTGTAAGTATACAAAAAAAACAAATACGTGTGTTTTATTTGAAGGTTGTATTGCTTAAAAAAAGAATACTCAGCTTATTTCTTTGTTTTTTTTTTCTGTAGAACGCCGATCGCGCTCAAAGGCGACTCGTGAAGAACTCATTCATAGTGGAGCTCTCAGACGGACACAGAAAACTAAGGCATCTATTCCTCTTCAACGACGTTATTGCTTGCGCCAAATATAAGGTAAAATCGACTCTTATTTTGGATTGGATAGATTTTGCACATTTGTATATAATAAATTGTATAATAAATTAAATTGTTTTTTACAGGCATCAGGGCGCGATAAGTTCACGTTTGAGTTGAAATGGTTTATTCCTCTACCGGATATAGTGGTGGTAGAGGACGAGAGTCTCGGGGCCAATGCTAACGACGCGCGTGAGACTTCGCCCGCCAACATCGTGGCACTGAAGTCGCAGGCCTCCACTGTACGCGATCAAATACTGGCTGAAGAACGAGCCGCTGCTGATGACAAGGTTCCCTTTTATTTGTTATTCACTGTGCCAACAGACTTTGTATTATTTCACTAATTATTTAATTCTCAAGATAATTATCAATCTGAAGCAATACCGTGAAATAGTGTAATTGAATTATTTTTGTGGTTTTCTTTGTTTCTTACAAATGTCTATTACAAAAACTAAACAAGTCGCCTAACCACAAAATTTTAAAATTTGCGAAATACATAATCTTTATTTTATACCTTCAAAAATATATTTGAATGTATTATAATGTTAAACTAACCATAAAAACCAGAAAATTCGTATCGGCGGTCGCGGCGCGGCGGAGAAGCAGCGCAAGAAGCTGGCGGAGCTGGAGGCGCAGCTGGTGCTGGCGTCGCCCAACTTGGTGTTCCGCGTGGGGGCGCGCGCCCCCGGCGCCGCCGCGCTGCAGCGCCAGCATGTCTTCTTCCTCAGCTCCGAGTACGAGCGCACGCAGTGGATCGACTCCATACACGCACTGCAGGTCATTTCTAACTAGAACATAATCTTACCTTTGCCCCATCCCTAAATCTCCAAAACCCTAATCCCATAACCCTGCCAACGCACTCCTAACTCTTCTGGTGTTGGCTCGGATTATCTGATGGTAAACGATCGGCGCTACTCACGCAAAACAAAGATGATGGTCACTGATTTCAATTTAGTGTAGGGCAATTTGATTTTGATTTGGGCAAAGTAGTTTGAGTTTTTGACTTGAAATTATGAGGAAGTAGCAGGGTATCTGAAATTGCATGTAAACTAGTCGCCTACGTCTATATGATAAAGACCGGGAACGTACAGTAAATAGTGTTGCCTAGTAATAAAGACCTTTGCCTTTAGCAGTTAATATCTGAATGATATTCTTAATCAGTCTAATAGAACTTCTATCACTCTGAATTAGCCAAAACTCGACGTGTATTTTTTATCAATTCATTAATGATGTCTTAGGCTTCATCAGCGCCGCCAGCGGGTTCGAGTTCCATTTCGATGTTAGAGCTACAGGCGTGGGTGACGGCGTGTCGCAGCTACTTACAGACTGACATGGGATCCTACCTACTGCGCAGTGGACGCGACGACTCACTGCTGCTCGGAGACCTACAGCTTCACATTGGAGGCATGACTGCACCACTTGATACTGCCGCCGGTACGATATTTGCAATATATTTTTTAAATGACGGATTGAGCTATCTTCTACTATACTCGGAATTTTAATTCCATTCCAGATTTGACAATTTCAGTGTTGCAACGTTATGACACGTTCTAAGTAGTGACGTTGCGAAATTATTCGATAAGGAAATCGAATATTTCTGAATCGATTCCTGTCGTTTATAAATTTACTCTCATAAACTAAGTTTATCAGGAAATAAAATATTTATGAACCGATAATTTAGTTTTGACCATTAATTAACGATCTGAGACTTTTATTTTGTAATTGTGTTATAAAATTAATGAAAAATGTGAT